GCAGACACTCTGGTGCATCTCCCCAAATTTGTAGGTGACCGCAGACAGCAGGCCTCTGACACTATGCGTACTTCCTGTTTGGTCCCTAATGGCAGAAACTCTGGCTGTAGCTCCGCCCACAGCGCCTGGAACACCTCGGACTCTATCCCAGACAGCGTGCAGGACGCTAGTTTGTAGCTCCGTTGGTTTACGCCAGTCTTTGGGGAACGATTGCGCGTCGTCTGGCATTGGTGCGTCAAACCGACACACGGACGCCCACACTCCTAGCTAGTTCCTGATTGTCCCTCTGGCGTTATGGCGTGGAATAACAGCGCAGACCACGCTTCAATATTGGGCATAAATCAAAAATCTCTGTGTCATATCTGCGGTAAGCTAACTGTGACACACTGCTGCGGGATAACCAGCCCTTTAGGTGTTACTATATTTGGACAAAAATGGCCGCTCCCAGACTCAGTGTTGGCGACGGAAAAGTGTTTCTTTCGTTTTTCAATTAGCGCTAAATTCATGAAATCACCGGACGTATTAATTTTAGGTCTAAATAACGATCCATTGGTTATTCCTTGCTGATCGGACTTTTCCTTTAATTGTATCGGGGGGGGGGGCACTATTGTGATGCTTGTTTTTTTACTTGCATGCTAATTATTATGTAAGCCACAAACATGCAGGAGACATTGCCTTTCTGTGTCGTCATCATCACCCCCCCCCCTTCAGGTGGTGTGTGTTCCACATGACTGGCGCACTACTCTGGTCGTCATCATCGCGGCGAACGCAGTGGTGTCTCTCGTCTTGGAGGTACGCCGCGCAGACGTCACGCCCAGCATCATGTCTCCTTCCATCCTCCTCCTTTCTGATCTGCATCTTTATCAAACACCTGCTTCAGCTGCTCAGTCGATTTCCATGAGCTAAAAATCAGTTTAAATAGTTCCTTAAAAAGCTTTTTCAATCTGACATCTTTTCCTCTGGTGCTGTTACTCAACCCTGATGATTAGCCGACTCTTTAAGTTCCTGAAATGTCCCGTAGATTTTGATCGTTGACGTCGTCTTATGGAGGCTTGTTTTCAGAGGAAGTCAAGGGCCGAATGGCCCCGGAGAATCCTCCTCTGGGGACACACCACAGGTTGGAAGCCTTTTTTCCTTATTCAGTCTGTCTATAGATAGAACCCTGAGCTTTACTCTTCCTGGCATTGATTTATTAGGCTGCTGTCAAAGTGCTTTTCTAAATAAGAAATGTTCCCTTAAAGTAAGAGCCATTTTCTATTGCATAATCAGTTAGTTTCCGTTTCCTGGTCGTTAGATCTTCGCGGTGCCGATGACCCGGTGAAATGCTCCCTGACTGCTTTCATTCTTCCACTCATCTCACAGGTGGCTAACGACCGCTGGGGGGCGCTGTTCCTGTCCCGGCTCTTCTGTCGGAGGAACAAGCCCCCGAAGGTGCTGTACAGGCAGCTCGCTCTGGAGCTGCAGGAGGACGCCGCCTGGCCCCCCAAACCCTCCGCCGTCACCTACGCCGCCGATCCACACAACCACATCTCTGCCGCTCTTTGAGACAAACGGCCTGAAGAGACTAAACCCCTGTTCTGTTGGCGGATCCTCTCAGTTAGCTGCTCAATTAAAGGCAAATACACTTTGATCCGGTTTTTAGATGGCAGAGTTAGGAGCCATGTGGAGAGAAACACTGGAGGGAACAAACATTAGGATTCATACTTGAACTGAAGAATGGAGATTTCATCTGTAGAAACATCTAAATAAGGACATCTGACAAAGATAGTCTGAGTAAAGGCAAAATGCATTATTCTAAGAATGTGACTGAATGAATGAATGAATGAATGAATGAATGAATGAATGAATGAATGAATGAATCTGTTGCTGTACCTCCAGTTCTTTGGTCCTTCCTTTGGAGGCCCCCACTGAGGCTTTTCCATAGCTGTGAGGACGTTTGGTCCAATCTTCTGTTCTGAGTCATTAAGTTCAGCCATATACTAAAACTAATTAGTAAAAAATGTCAACTTTATTTTTTTTATTTTATATTTCTTATTTTTTTATTTTAATTTTGAGATTTTTCAGATTAAGTTTTAAAATTTTCAAATTGCTTGTTGCAGATTACGTTCTCATCACCTTGAGTCTAAACCTACGGAAGCCCAGAGCGGTCGTGTCCCTCTGATACTTTTTAACGGTGGTTTTCTCAAAAAACAAGTTAATTTTCTCATTATTTAAAGATAAGGAAAGCCGTTTTCTTGTCATTTCCAGATGATCGGTGTGAGTTATAGCTGATTCGGGAGAGGATTTATACATATAAGTCATGGCAGCCTGTCTGTAATTCAGTAAATAATCTTGTGTTTAACTTTTAGGTAACGAGACGACATTGTTGGTTCGCTGGTTTGCTTCCACTTCTGATTCCTAAGCAATTAGACCTATGCCTCCAGGTGTTCTCAGAACAGCTATGGTGTTACGCCTGGAACAGCTATAAGATGCATTAACCCCCAAAATGAGTCCAGATTAAAGATTTTCATTAAAAAACTGATTAGTTTCTACTGTATTCTATGCAATCCAATCATCCACTACGACCTGACAATGAGTGAAAAGAAAAAGGAAGCTAAAAATTTGTGCACACGCGGCTGCAAAACTACGGGCCCCACAGGCATGGATGGACTGGGAATCCAGGGCTGTTGGCCAGCCTCATTCATCACTCATACAGGTTAATTATCTCGTTATCTTGAGAAATCTATAACTGTTTTATCCTGATAATGAGATAATTGTCTCGTTATCTTGAAAAAACAATTAATGGTTTAACTGTGATAATGAGATAATTATGTCGTTATGTAGAGAAGACAAAGAAAAGAAAGTGTGAATATAACCACTCTTGGCTTCCATACAATACAAATTGTCGCTCTATAGTGAACTTTAACCGTACAACGATGATGCCAACATCCAGCCGACCAATAGAAACATGTCTTAGCTTCTTATCCCACAGGGAGACCCGCCCCCAGATGTTTAAAAAATGTTTTTGTAAAAAGCAATATGAAATAAAGGCAATTCTGAAAAATCTGAAAAAACTAAAAGTAAAAAAAAAAAAGTTAAAAACCAAAAGAATACATTTAGAAAAATAAAACCTGAAAAAGATATAAATATAATCAAAAAGTCAAAATTAGAAAAGATAAAAATTGAACGATAAAAAATGAAAAAATAAATTTGCAAAAAAAATGGGCAAACAAAACAAAAGGAAATGGAATTTGAAAATATAGAATATGAAAAATACATAAAAATACTTTAAAAACATTATCTGGGACCTTTTTTTTTACTCAAATGTTTTACAAAGTTTTATTTTTTGATTTTATTTCATTTAGATTTAGAGTTATAAACTTTCTTTCTTTTTTTTATTTCCGTTTACAGAATGTGTTATGTGTTAATTACAATTATGGAACAAATTTCACTCCATAGAGGCGGGTAAAACATCTGTTTTTATGGCAGTGATTATATCTGCTGATGAACATTTAATAAACTTCCTTTTATTTGGGATTTTCCTCCTAAATCCTTCAGAATAAAACAATCAATATTCCAGGAACGATTTTATGGGATTGATTTTTGCTCACTGAACTCAGAACCGGGGTGACGACCAGATTATTTTCTCACTCTAACTCCGTAAAACTACATAAAATGTTAGAGGGTTTAATTTTACTGTGATTCTACATTAACGTTATTAACATTAATTGGTACTGTTATTAACTGTTTTTTTTTTGGAGTTAGCTTTCTTCCTGTGGAAGAGAAACTTCCCATAGATACTTTTGCTCCGTGTCTCTCATAGATATGATCGTCTTTGTAAGATCGTCTCACATTGATCTCTGTCGATGCAGCTTCAGTATATTTTTGTTTACATGCCGTATTTTCCAGACAACTCTACTAAATTAAACCTGTAAAAATGTGAAAATGGTTGATTTGAATAAAAAAAATGTGATACCGCCTTTTGGACTTTTTCAGTTTGATGTTTGCTCTGCAGAATTTCCATGAAATTCCCCCAATAAATCCGTATTTGGAGGCTTCGTGGGGGGCTGACCTTGGTCACACTTTTTCAACCGAGGCTCACTGATCAATTATGGGCTTTCCCAGCCTCCTCGCTGCCTGGCATATGGGCCCTTAAGGGCGCAGGAGTGGAGGAGAAAGAGTGGTATCATTTCATGTGGAGATCAGGGCCCATGGGCCTGAATGGACGGATTTAGGAAGCATGGAGGGGGGGGGGGTCCTCTCTTCTATCCGAAATAAAGGAATCTCCCACAGATGAGGGAAGAGCCGTCTTTTCTGGGAATATTCATGATGAGGATGAGGGGGCATCATGAATTCATGTGGGATCATCTTTTAGGTAAACAGCGATGTGTAGAGAGCGGGGAAATCCTGCATTGGACGGTGTTTGCCGTGTAATGTTGCAGAAAGTGTTGCTTCTCCTCAGAGCAACATGGCTGTTTGTGTTGCTTTTGTATCTGCAGACGAACAGATGGAGAATGGAGGAGACAAATAAAGACACTAAAACGCTCTTTATTCCTCGCAGCTAGAAACTCACTAAAAAAGATTTTCTCAAGCTTGTGTTCAGACATTGTAGACTTTTTTTTTTGTCCTTCAAGCTAAGCTTTTTTGTTTCAAGATTGGTGCAAGTGGAGACAATCTGCGCACAGTCAGTGGTGGTCCTGGGGGGCAGGATGGGGCTGCAGTTTTTCATGGGAACGAAGAACAAAAATGATGACGAAAACCTGAAAAAAAACCTTAATATTCAATTCAGTTTATTAGCTTTTCTGTCTGCGGTTCTTTTCCTGAGAAGAGATCAATTCTATTCAGTTTATTTCTATAGCTCCAATTC